CAAAGCTGCAAAAAAAAAAAAAAAAAAAGGGCCGAGGTTGTAAATTTCTCACCTCTCCTTCACTGCGACCAATTACACGAACATCCCTCCTTGGCCCATAACCATAAATAACCATGCCAGGAAACAAGGCGCAACCAAGAACTTGCACAAAAACATCCTTCACGTGGCATCATGGGGAGGGGGGAAGTTACAGCGCCCCCCCCTCCGACAAATCAGGTTCTTTTCTTTCTCCCGGCCCATTAAACCATGATGTCGTTAGGACGGCTTTCGATTGAAGGCGCCGCCCGCGAGCCGCCACTTGAGCTGGCACACTTGGGCGGGCGTTCGCGGCGACCGCTCAGGATTTACGGGCAAATGAACAAGGTGGGAGAACAGGGACTGCTTTTAAAATGTTATCCAAGTTTGGTGACTTGAACTTTTGGAGTTCACCCACATCATTTTTGTTTTCACAGTGTTGCATTACGGCACAAATACCGTAAATATTATTCCGAAGATGGCTGTAGCGCCGATGGCTTTCACAGGCGGGCGGCGTGAAATTTCGCCGCAGTGACATGACAACGGCATCGTGGAACACAACAATGCTGTTTGACTGGAATAAAATAACAATCTTATCAGCATGTCGCGATGACACCGGCAAATACTTTGTGGAACACGTACACGTTGAGTCAGTGCGACATTTTGCGGCGTCGTAAAATATTTTCAAACGCAGTCACGCAGACGGAAAGGCAATGAAAAGGATGCCTGACGTTCCTGAAGAAAGAAAGAAGGACGGGTTTGCTAAGGCAACGTCCAGTAAAACCGGCCGCCGAGATGTTGAGCGGGCCCTCTGAGCAAAATTGAGCTGGCTGGCCGTGTATTCCGGGGAGGGGAGGCTTTTTCCACGTCAGTGTGGCTCACAGCTACCCTCGCGCCGCTCTATTGAAGGCGCTTGCGCGGCCACAAGTGAACATTTGTTCTAAAGGAATGCCGAGTATGCGGGAGACTAGGGGGGGGATGGGGGAGGTGTGGAGGGGTCGGCTCAAGCCGGTACGTCGTCGACAGCTTCTTTATTCGTTTTTTTTTTAAATCACCATCTCACCCCCGATTAAAAGAATTAGCTGAAGCAGAACAGGACACGTGGACGTAGAGCGACGAGCGGATGCTAACAATGTCAACAAGAAGACGGAGTTATGCGACGACCTGCGCACGTAATGCGGCAGGCAGCAAGTGCATTTGTGCCGCGTTCAAATGAAACATTGTGTGAATGCACATTGACTTCAAGTGGCTGGAATCAAAACTAAAATCAAAAGCAGAACCAGAAGTGGAATGAGATTGCTCGATGTACCACAACAACCAGGAGCAGGTTTCAATTTTTAACCAAAATGAAATCACAAGTTACTCTTTAACCAAAACTAAAGTCAAAAACAGAATGAGTGGCGCAACTAGTGAATAGTAGCACCATAACAAGAACAATTAGTAGCAGAAAGAGAAAAACACAAAACTGGAGCGAGATGCAGAACTACAAATCGTATCTGAATTAGAATGAGACCTGCAACCAGACGAGTGGCAAACGTACAACAGAAACCAGCACTAGAAGCCCAAGTAGAACCAAAGCTGCAACTGCAACAAGCATGAATGGTACGAGATCCAGAATGAGCATCTAGTTCCAGAACCAAAACCACAAATACCAAAAGTAGAAATAGGCAGCTGAACCTGAACTACACTGCAACCAAGATCAAAACTGGAACCAGATGCAGAACAATAACTACTTTCTGTACTACAACTGGACCCTGGACTAGAACTAGTAGCGTAATTCCAATCAAAAGCATCCATCAACGGGAGAACTAGAACCAAAACCACACTATAACTAGTAGGAGAACGAAAACCAGAATTACCACTGGAACTACCAAAAGCCATGATTGTACAATGAAACTACACTCAAAATCAAAGCCGGAACTCGTCTTGAGAAAGAAAGGAGGGACCGGTGTGCTGAGCGACAGACATCGAACAGGCAGGCCAAGGATATCAACAGCCGTTGATGAGCGCTGTGAAGAAACACCCAAAGACAACAGTCGGAGAAGGTAAAAAAAAAAAAAAAGACACAGAAGAAATATACAGGCCATGCCACGTGATGCAAACCTCTCCCCAGCCAAAGGAATCAGAACACCGGATGGGATTTTTTTTTTGCAAAGGCATACAGAGCAGGGCCACGCAAATGTTTTGGAACAAACATTTATGGACTGAAAAGCCCACTGATGAACTTCGACCAAAGTGATGAAAAGGCCAAAGTATGGAGAAAGAAAGGATCTGCTTCTGATCCAAAACACACGAGCTTATCTGCGAAGCACGGTGGAGGTCATGTCATGGGGCTTGGGCTTGCATGGCTGCCTCTGGAACGGGCTCGCTGGTCTTTATCGAATGATGTCACTCAGGATGGTGGCAAGCAGAATGAATAACGGCTCGGGCTTATTTTGATGATGTCCTTCTGTCGGCAGGGCGTTCTCTGGTCATTGCCGTGTTGCATGAAGAGGACGCTTCTCCCCTTTAGTTTGGATGCATTTTCCTGTCACTTGCATAGAACTAACAGAAAAACACCAGAGACCCAGAAGCAGAACATACATCGATAAAACTATCTTCAATGCCCAAGCCATAGAGGAATTGTGGAAGCCATAAAGCGGGTAGCATCAAGGAACCAACCCACAGGGGCCCACTAAGGCTTTTCTGGGAATTGGGGTCAGGGTTCACCCAATGGGTCATAAGAGCCTCACCTTCTTGTCCTGGCCACTTCAGACCCGACTCAGCAGTGGAGCACGTGTGCGTGTGTGTGCGTGTGTGTGCGTGTGTGTGTGTGTGTGTGTGTGTGTGTGTGTTGGGAGGGTACACGCCAATAGCTTCCCCCCCCCCATGCACTGCTAAGCTAAAGCCTCAAACGAGCCTCTGCTCAGGTGCTAAATTCCTGGGCTAACTGGTTCCTGCTGTTCTGGTTCACGCTGCTTTTGGCGTAGCAATGACATGCCGGTCAGTAAAGGAGGGTGTCACCCTGTTTGTTTCCCGTCAGTTTACACACGGTGGGAATTTATAAACATGAAAGAGACTGGCTCAATCCGAAAATCTGGGGGCAGGGGTGCACAAGTCCCGTCCTTCAGGTCCCCCCCCTACACAGCATGTTTGACATGTTTCCCCCTCAGGCTTCTGCAAAGCTTGCTTTTAAGTTCACCATTTGAATCAGGTGTGTTGGAGGAGGGGGAACATGTAAAACAGGCCGGGTAATGAGATCCGAGGTGACATGATCATTTTGCTTTCTGAAATTGTGACCCTTGTTTTTCGGTGTGCATTTGGTAACCGACTGGTGGCAAACAACCACCACGAATTCTTCAGTTGTACGGGATAGAACTCCCCACAAACGAGTACACATGCCGTGAAAAGTAAGCTTTTTATCCACCTGAAACAGACGGAGGGATTAAGCCTGGTGACGACGAACGCGGCATAATGCCATTATTATTATTTTAGTTTTTAGTGATGTGTTAAGCTCCTTACAAAGTCAGGAGAGGACGCTCACAAACCATTTGTGACCTTCATTTCACGCACACACGCACACACACGCGCGCGCGTGCACGCATACATGCATACACGCATATGCATGTGCAAACATACACGGACACACGCAATGACTCACTCACAGAGAGCGTCCTCCTCCAAGCACAGGAATGGTTAAACAAATCACTCCCGCTGCCAGGAGCACTGTTGGGACCCCAGTGTGTGTGTGTGTGTGTGTGTGTGTGTGTGTGTGTGTGTGTGGGTGTGTGTGTGTGTGCGTGTAGTAGTAGTGCATTCGGGATCAAACTACAGCCGAGTCACATTGTAGCAAAACAAAGCAAAACATCGCCCAGGTGGGACAAAATATTGATATGGCAATGTATCATTTTTTTTTTTCACTGACAATATACATTTTGATATCGACAAGCCAGAGCCGAAAATCAGTTGTTCTATTGACATCATGACGTATCATCTTTTTTCTTATGATACAGCATCCTATCCACTCAGAGGCATGAAATATTGATCCGTTTTAACAAAGGGTAGAACAATTTACTGTATAGGCAATGCAATGTATCTTTTTGTTTCCACCATACAGTATCAATGCTGAAGCATCAAATTTCAGTCCGCTTTGAAACGGAGTGATACGATATATCGATACGGTGAGGTATTGTTTCTGATTATGATCCAGTATCAATACACAAGTGTAAAATATTAATTGTTTTGTTAGTGACAAGAAAAAAAAACATGATGATGCAACATTTATGCTTAGGATACAGCATTGATACAAAAGCGTCACAGATCCGTGTTGATTTAAGGGTGGGACATAATATCAATTTTGTGATTGCTTCCAATACACTAGCGATACACAAGAGTGAGAAGCCCGTCAATATTAACAAGGTTTCTTCTTTTTCCCCCTTATGGGATTTTTGACTTTTTCCTTGCCCTCTGGGGAGTTTAGACCAGGGGATGCCATTAATACTTTTCAAGTGTGGGCTTGTGAAGCCCTTTCAGACTCTTTTGTGATTAAGGGCTACATAAACAAATTTGACCAGAATTGGCCTATCCATAACTATGACGGCATTCACAATGCCCACCCAATTCAGATTTATTTTCATTTAATCTGATCTTTTGCAATAATCATTCACATTACATCAACAAATGTGACGTCTAATTGTGTGCATGGAATGTGTCTGTGGAGTGACGCATGTGCACAATGTGTGCTTGAACTAACCGGTCCAGTTTTATCTGGATCAGTTCGAAAGCATCTTCTTATCACCACTGACAGTTTTCTGCTCCTTTGTTTGCCACGAATTTCGCTCATGTCTGTTCAGTCGAAAAAATGTGACGCTTGCCGCCTTTTGACGACAACAAATTCAGAGGCGCACGACCTGAGCAACCAGACAACAGTCCATACTGTTTGTTGATGTTTGGAGAGTCTCAAAACGTTTCTAAGAATACCGTATTGCGAATGCTTCTTGTCTCACCTGGACTCTGGAAGGCTTCTTTGAGGTGCAGCAGCACGTTGGCAAACCACCTGACGTCATTCACCAGCATCATGACGTACTCCGGGTCCACTCCGGGCGGGCATGACGCAGACACCAAGGGATCAGCACCATCACTCAGCAGGTTGTGCGAGCGTCGCCTGTGCCCGACATCCCAGGTCTTGGTGGAGCCCGTCAGGGAATCGGAGTGATGTCTGGACGCCGCAGAAGCATGACCCCGCTTTACGCCGCCGCCTTCGCTGCTCTTACGGAGCATCCTGGCAGCGAGGTCAGTAGCGGGGAGCTACTCTACTAAACAGCCACCCAGACGCTCAATGGCTTCCCCTAGAGACACACAGGATCAAGATGGTCATAATGATGATGATGATGATGATCAAGCTCTCCGAACTAAACACACAAATTAATTCGCATAATTTGATACAGCCAGATCTGGCCCCGAGACATTCAGTTAGACACCAATGTTCTATTCAAATATCATTCAACATGATTCCAATCCATCCGCATTTTTCACTGAGCACATCAGCATTCATATGCATTTTTTTTTTCCAAAATGGCAACTATAGTTAGTATTATTACCAGACTATTAGAATCATTCTTTTCTTGCTGTTAGTTTAATATTCACGCTTTAATAAAGCTATAGTTTTTGGTCAAAGGCTCTTTAAATTAAGTTGAGTAGCGTGCTGTTTTCAAGTACAGTACTTTTAATCAAATTTGATTGGATGATATGTCAAAAAAATTATGTCGTTACCTGATAGTACCAATAATGAAGTGTTTAGTATCGCCTTCAATCATTTTAGCCATGCTAGAAAAGGAGAGTCAGATAAACCGAGTCCGATTAAAAACAGCAAAAATTAGGTTATTCGTTCGATACACATTTAGTATCATACAGATAATAGATGGTCGTAAATCGAATCGGGCAATCATTATCGACATTTTATGCTGAAGGTTCGATACAGACCTCGACTTAAAAGCAAACGATGGAGATCTTTGATGATAAAACATGACTAATGACGAAAGGTAAGGTTTTGCATACCAGGGCTGACGAAAATGCTGTTTACTGTTATTATCACAATTGTTCAAAAGAATATTTGTAGTATTTAGTGTGCTTAGTTTAATACTAGGCTTAGAATGTTGTACTGTACTTTCCTTCCGACAATCGGTCAGAAAGCATTTCGCTGCAAAACTAAAAAAAAATAAAAACATCAAAAACAAAACATGCGTTTTCACCACTCACCTGGCCAGCACTCTTTGGACATGGTAGCAAAGATATCCAAACAATGTTTTAGAAAAATAGTATTCCAGTTCGAGGGGAATAGAACTTTAAAAGAGGAAAAAGTGAGGAACGGCGACTGAACTGTACGTGTTCGCTGCACTGCAGCCCAAGCAGCCAACTCTCAAATCATTCCTCATTAACAAGCCCCCTCGTCACGTGGGGGGTCGAACGGCGCGTTGATTGGTTTAAAACTAGTGGAGAGGGCGGGGCCTCGGTGACGCTTACTGGACGAGCGGACGCATGGGATTTAAAAAGCTTAATCATCAAAGGAACACAAAAATGAATGGCTTTTTGTCGTGATTAAATACTCGTTGTTAGCCTAACGTGAGCGAAACGTCAGCGCACGAGTTAGTCAGCAACATTACGAAGTCACATTGGAGTTTATTGTTCACTTGTTTAGTATGCGATCTTGTTTCCGAGCGACACTGGAACGGCACTTTGTCACAGTAATGTAATATTTAAAAATATATCAATCATTTAAATAAACAACTAATTTAAGCTTTTATGGACAACTATGGTTAAATCTGAGCTGCAAATCCAGATTTGGGTACTTTGTGTTGCCCATGCTGCCATCTAGTGTGCAAAGAATTCAAGCGGATCCTAGCTTCAGGGGTGATTCAGATGTTTGTGGTTTGTTTTCTTTTGTACAACCACAATATTAGTACACCACAAGCTAATGACTTCCGAAACAAGCGTGGTTATTAAAAAAAAAAAACTGCCCTAAAGATAACAATACAAGAACACATATGAACATGCTTCCTATGTGGTTGGTAGTTTTCTCTCAGTACTCAAGTGACCAATCAAATCGAAATTAGGTGTGGGATAAAATGCTACTGTAACGTATTGTTCAAATGTCAGTTTATACCGCGTGTGTCCAAAACATCGATATTGTGATATCTGCTTTATGATGAAATGCTAACAACATAGCAAGTTTCCCCATAATGCCACTTGGTATTGACTTGCACATGAGCAATTGCCCAACTTAACCAATGCGTTCAAACAACATAGCCGTGTAAAAAATGTTTACTTTACATTGAGAGTTCTACGCTTCTGTACAGTACACGACCCATGCCATACAAATACCAGTTTTGTAGAAATGTGACGAATAGTTAAACTAAAGTGACATCTGTAAAGGTTTGGAGCCACACTATCGGATCACATTGGACTGTCATCTGTTTGTCTTTTATTTTTCATATACAAAAAGATGTCATCTACTTTTTTTTTTAATATTTCTAAGCATTTTCCAAGACAAAAGTCAAACATCTCAGCACGGGAATCATCACATCAACGGGGAAAATCTCATTCACACTCGAGCAAGAGCTTTCTTTGCTTTCTCACACACATTAATAATCATCCTCATCATTTAAAAAAAACGTATACATACAGTAACTGAGCGATTCTGAACTAGAGTGGGCTAAGTCCTTTTTATGTCAACAACAGAAATGAACAGAGAAGAGGCATATCTTTTCTGTGAATGTGTCTAAATCGAAGTGAGTTCCAATTTTGGCAAATTGGGGCAGCCCATAATTGCACTCAGCATGTTTTCAAGCCTGCGTGCCAGTGCATCTGCATGTCAGTAGAGTAAATGTTATTTCCCATATTATCTTGATACATGTTTCGATTTCCGTCCAAACCCAAAGTGGCAGCCAAAATGGAGTTGGCCCACTCTTGTTCTCAGTGGCTCATTTAATTGTTTTTGTCCTTTTTACAAATGACGCCAAGTTACAGAGGTACTGTGTGAGGTAAGTGGTCAGAAAAACTGGAAGCGTTTTTTTTTGGGGGGGGGGGGTCATTGTGTGAAAGCACCTGGGTGTACCGGTAGGGTGGGAGTGTGGGTCGTCGTTGCACACACAGCTGAGTGACCATCAAATGATATTCAAATGACTATTGCTGTGTTAAATATATTGCTGGACCCTCAGTTCATACGCGCACCATTGTGCACATCAAAAACGTTTGTTTGTTTTTTTTGTACATTTTTTCCACCCCCGCGAAACCAGAAAACACATGACAGAGCACTTTTTTTTTTTTTTACAGAAATCGTAAGAATTAAAGTCACCATGTTTGCACAGCACCGCATGTCTTAACTATAAAGTCTGAACGTCACATCGGCAGGTTATGAGTTTATTTAGAGGTAATACTGTTCCCCACAATAAACAAAAACAAAAAGCCACTGCTCGCCCCCAAAAATTAAAACAAAAGTTATGCATACAGTTAAGGCCAAAATTATTTTTTTATATTTGTGAATAGGTATTTTCTTGCTGGAAATCAGGCTGTAAGGAAATGATTAAGAATTGATACGTTGAAATATTTTATATTGTAAATAGGTATACACACACACGTTGTGTGTGTGTGTGTGTATGTATATATAGCGGAGTTTTTAATTTTCTTTGTTTCTAAAGCCAAGTATAATATATTCTAGTTCTTTACTTGATTTGAGTCACTGCTGGTCGACAGCCATCCAGAAGTATCATCTTGTGATATGTTTATTCAAATAAATAAATGTTAATTGAAACAGTTTGAATGTGGTCTTCCTTTTCTTCATTGCACTGCACAGATATTGGTTCGAGACTTGGTCTTGGCAGAATATATTGACACCCCTTATTTTGGAGCATGAAAAAAAAATTCATGCGTTGAAAAATAAAAAAATGTCATTTACATACATGTAAAATATCAGTAACGCAATGTTTATACAATTTCATACCCACGACATTTTTCCCAACATGTGTTTCTATATATCTGTTCTCTAAAACACCGTGTATGACTCAACACATTTCTATTGCTTAGCTTCAGGAATTTTGGACATTTTTATTCTCAATTCATAAGATTTGATGGGGTAAAACATGAATAGTGACAATGGGGCCGTTTACTTTTTTTTTGGTGTAATTATTCATTTTTTGCCACTTTCCATTAAGAATTAATTTTTTTTTTAAAACAACTACAAAAAAAAAAACCAACACACCTCCTAAATTTGAGAGAATTTGTAGTTTGAGTCTGAGATGAAACAAAAATCACAAGTGCTGATCTCAACAATTGTAAATTACAACATTGGACCTGATTTCTGATACTGCGAAAAAATAATTTGATGAAATTGAAAATTTCTGCAATTATTTTAACTGCTTCCAGTACTTAGACACTTCTCCAGCTAAGAGACCCATTCAACAGATATAAAAAAAAAAAAATCTCTAAATATGGCAATTTTGGACTTAACTATAAATAGAAACCGTTTTTTCTTTACATACATATGCAGAATAATCGCTTTCCATGTTTAAAAAAAAAATGTCCATCACCTTTTTTTTTTTTTAACAACAATCGGCGTCTTTTTTTGATGTTTTTTTTTAATCCGTATTTTGTGTGGACAGTGTGACAACTGTTAGGGCTATGGTTTACAAAAACAATAATACGCAAAATAATTTTCCTTTAAAAAAAAAAACATGGTACATTAAAATAATTTTCCTTGCAAAAAAAAAAAAAAATTAAACCCTTAAAAGAGGCCCGTCCGACAACATTAAACCATCTGGACTAGAGTATTTTCTTAAAAATTAAACACACAATCAAATACATCTTAAGAACACAAAATAAGTCTGTGTACATGTAGAAAAAAAAAGCCTGAGGTACTTGTTCAGAAGATCTGAGGTCAGTCTCGAAGGAGAGGAAGCAGCTTGAGGGCTCGCCCCTTCATCATCATCATCATCATCATTTAACAGACAAAACACGCACAACACGAACAACAACAAGAACAGAACGTGAGCCTCATGTCATGCCACCGATGGTTCGAGAGCACGCTGAGAATACAAATTCTTGAGAGTCCTGGAATAGTCAGAGCAGCATTAAAAACGGACATTCAAAAATGTATGGTACTCGTGTTCATAAGACAGCACGCACGCATGCGGCGGCGACGATGACGACTGCGACTGCATGGCATTGCATCGGCGAGAGACGGAAAAAGGCAACCGTTTTGAGCTCTCCCGGCGTGATGTACGTGGAGGACTGAGGTATTTGGGGACAAACGGCTGACTTGAGCGGCTCCGTACGAAACGTCAAGAGAAAAGACAGAAACAGACATGTTGCTTGGACTCAAGTATGGCGGCCAGACCGCTGTTCTCACAAACGGCACACGTACAGCACAAAATGGGTCATACCCGGGTTATTATGAATTTGTTGAAAGCGGAGCTCACAGCTGGAAAGGTTTTTAGCAGGTTGCCAACGTAAGCAATAAATACCGGTTTAACCCTTTCAGGGGCGGCGGTTACTACAGTGGACAGTCTATCATGTTATCAGGTTACAGGTCATCATTATTGGTGCATGAAAGGGTTAAATCGAGGTTCAGTTCCCATTTTGACATATTGGGGCAGCCCATTATTGCATTCAGCACTTTTTTTTTTCAACTTAGGTGCCAGTGCATCCGCATTCAAGTCACAGTGAATGTTATTTGTCATCAAATTTTGAGCCTGAAATGACAACTGGAAAGAGTTTTTGGCTGCATTTTGGATAAAACAGAGAGATGCATATTTCCGTCAGTTCTCAATATATAAAAAGTCCGAAAATTTCAAGCATTTCATATAAATTCCTGGTGTTTTCCAAATATTTTGGCCAGGATATGACTCATTTTGTGCTTAACTGCATGATCATTCACTCACACTCACACACACACACAAACAGTTAAAAATCAAGAATGTGTAACATTGCAACTCCAGACAGCATTCGTCAATGCCCCCGGCACTGGCTAAAGGAGTAATTCGACAAATAAAACCCAAGAGAATGAATAAAAAATCCTCATTAAAATGGGCAACAAGTCCATAATGACAGCTAGCTTGGCTCTCCCTCTCGCATCAGAGGACACACACACACACACACACACG